CCTATAACACTGTTGATTATTCCATTTTATATGAATTCCATGTTGTACGAGTCACTTAGATTTTACAAATACGTGTGCCGTTTACAGCTCGGCACACGTATTTGTAAAATCTAAGTGACTCGTACAACATGGAATTCATATAAAATGGAATAATCAACAGTGTTATAAGGGGGGTCGACTGTATTTAAATATATACATATTTTTTCTATTAAATAGAGATTAAAGAAATTATAATTTACGATAGAAAATAATCTTATCTGAAGTGGTTTAAGCTTGTGTTTTTATCGACTTAATCTTAATTTAGATTATGGGGTACCCTGCCACTTAAGGGTTGTTTTGATAGATGAACCCAGTCTCTAGTGGGGGTTGACGGATGTTGCTTTAATATTATCCAGGTGGAGAGTAAAGACAACATAAAGGTTTAGTTTTTTTTATGAAGAATTTCAAATATTTCGCGTTTTTTTTATCTCCTCGTATACGTAAGAACTTAAATCGTGACTCAAACAATACTTATATAGTAATTACGGGGTTTAAAATGAATGTTTTCGAGTAAATAAATTAAACAGAATATATTAAGAATTATAAAAAATGTAAAAGGTTACTCACGTGACGTTTAAATCTTTTTCTTTCATTGTCTAATTTCATGCTAATCTCACTCATGAACTAACGCGAAAGCTTCGCAGCTCGCTCATTCAAGATCTTTTTTAGTCTATTTATGGAAAGCTGGGTGGAGCAAAAACACTACTGCTATCATGAAAATGACTATACACATACCCTCTCCCCACAACTTCAATTGAACAAACCGTATATCACGTGATGCACCATTGCCTTCCCGGTAACCGATCATTTAAAGTATCGCAGTTATGATCATACCCGCTTACGGAAGTCCATTATGTTTTAATATTGTGTGACGTTTAGATCATTGCGTCATTCGATGAACGCACGTAATCATAAATCTGCATATTGTCGCATGTATTTAAAACACAGGGATTTTTTTTTGTGTGTGTGTGTGTGTGGCATATAAAGTGGCATCTTTACCTTTCAATGCAGCTTTTTTTTATTATTATTTATTTATTTTAAAGCAAATAAAATGACGTACGTTAAAATAAAATCAATATTTATAACCTACGTAAGAAAAATTGCCAAGCAAATTGATTCAGTTGGCATACTTACTGCATCGGCATTGTTGTTTTGCCAGGAAAAAATCAATATTTGAGGAAATCGCGAGTTAAATTTCGTTCGATTATTTGAATATTATACAAGATGCAACGGTTAATTCTCGCCCTTTTCTCTTATTTTTTTCTTAAATAATGAGTAAAGTCATATAATCGTATCTTTGATGAAGCGTATCGATCAACGCGTACTGTCCAGAGGGCAAGAACCCCGTCTTATGATAGACTATGGCGGATATACGAAGGAAAATAATTAAATTCGGATATAAATAAACATTTTTACTCACTTGTCCGTGCATGTTGAATCGTTATCGGTAGCAGCACATGCTCGACTTTACGTTATAGTGCAAGATACCCTTAGAATTAAACCACCCAACAGTACACCACTGTAACGACGTGAAGAGCCCGGATGATGGGGATTGAGTCATACACAATCGATCGCCACTACGAACTATAAACTCAGATCGATCGCAATTCCATTGATAGCTTCCATTTCTTTTCTACTTTTTAATCTTCGGGACGGACTTTTATTATATATAGGTCTATATATATATATATTTTTCGCTCCAATTTAACTATCAAATTATTCATTTAATACGTATTTATAATTTATTAAATGGAATTTTAAAAGCTTAAAAAAAAAAAGAAAAGAAAAACAAGACAGTAAATAAGCCTCTTTGACGTCCATTTTTCTTTTGGTCAAGTATCCTTCCCCCAGTCGTAACGAGCGCATTTCTCGATCAATAATATAAAAACAAAGTAAAAAAATATATTTAAAAAAGTAATTTACAAAACATAAACACTTCGTAGAATACTTTTTGATCGATTGCTGATATATCCTACGTGATATATTAGTAGTTTATTTATAATCAAAATGTGTCATATGCCAATGCGATAGGAGCTCAAAAAGTTAAATTCTTAAAAGTGAATGAAATGAAACGGAGACGAATCTTATTTAAAAAAAAAAATGCATCCATTAGATAATGATGTAAGATTAAAACTAAAGCAGTTAAAACTTTACGGAGAATTTTATAAAAGTTTTTCTAACAGACTTATTGCGACCAGCTGTAGAACCATATCAAATTTTATGCGCTGATGTCACTAACATCTGTAACCTTATTGATAACTTTGCGATCTTACAGTGATGTAATTCCACTTTTAATAAGTATGCCAGGAATTTAGTATCATAAATAAATAATTAATTCATTTTTATAAACAATCTTTTAATTGCGACAGTATTAATAGTTTTGTTTATTAAATTAATAGCGAGGTTGCGGCCGAAGTTTTCATCTCGTAAACGCGAACGTCGAACGTCGAGCGGCGCTCGACGTTCGAGTTTAACTGTTTTTTACACGTTTAACGACTTTTTAAATTGTATTTATATGTACTTTATCCTGTGATTAGTTTAAATACCAAAATATATGTAATTTTAGTTAAACATTCAGTTTACATTAAGCTTATTTCAAGGATATTCCTTTTGTATATAAATTTATAATTAACATCAAGGTCATTCTGCAAACAATTGTTTTTTTTCCCCCTTAGACTAATAACTACCAATTTATATAACTTATGAACTGTTATATTATTCTATAACAATTATGTACTTTAATAACATTCTAATTATTTTAAATTATACAAGTCTTTATGAACTATTTGAAGCTAAATACATTATATATATGTGTATTTAATTTACTTAAATGAATCAGCTATATATGATTGAATAAAACTGATATTACAGTACTTCTTGTATGTATAGTGCATGCTATTCAGCATTAGAAAACAAGTGATTGTAATACTCCAGTTGTTTTTAATCTTTATTGTCTTATAGACTACAGGATAATGTCTTTTCCAGGTATCTGTTAATTAAATTAAAGTAGGTTTGAATATCTGCTGAGGTGTAATTTGTAAAATTGTGAGCATTGCAATCCAACAATAATTACTACTCATTAAACATTATAGCCAGCTACTTAACAGGCTAATTAATTAATTGCTTAATAACTAATTTCTACCCAAACCATATTAAATATAAAATAAAATTAAAGATTTATTTATATAAATCATTCCATTTTCTTTATTTTTTATACTCTTCTATATTAAAAACTGTCTATTTTATTAATTTTTCTATTCAGTTAATAATTAATTTTATAGAAATGATTTATATATTGTTTATTCTCAACTATTTAAAAAATATATATATTTTTCTTCTTATATTTCCTAATACTAAAGCATTTTAATTAAAACTTTTTAATTTCTCAAGTAAGGTTTTTCTTTTTTAAAAATGAATCATAAAGAATTGTAATAAGTGGCATGTGGATATTTTAAAGTTTTTTTTAATTCATTAAAATATATTTTCCTCCGAGTAATTTGCCATGTGTTAAAATTTATGTTTCTTCTCTTAAAATATAAGCAATAAATTACTACGGAAAAATTATTTACGAATAATAAATATGTTTGTTACGCGATAATTAATAATAGTATAAATATATTGAAGTCTTTATTACGCAAGTGGTCTATTTTTATTACTCAATTTATGTATTTAATATAAATAAATTCGTTTATATTTATGTAGATAATTTGTTATATCCGTATTACTCATATTATTTTTAATATCAGTAAATACATTCATATTTTAAATAAAAAGAATTATATCAAAAACATTTTTATTTTCTACTGTTAAAAATACAGTATTAAAATATGTTTAAACAATGATTATATGAATAACATTTATCAATACATTTAAAGATTTTTTTAACAAAGTAGTTTATCGGACATATCTTTCACTTATATAAAAATTAAACTTTCGTACAAAATTGTTATTCATAGTTTAAAATATAATTTAACTTCAATTAATTATGGAAAAAGGCTCGATTTAATCATTTAAAACTTACTTTCAATCTAAAGTGAATCATTTTTGTTTCGTACTCCTTAAAAATTTCAATAAAAATATAATGAATTCATTCATAAAATACTTAAATGAAATATTTTCTCATTATATATTTTGTCAATGTGGGCATTAATCATTAACAGGACAATTATACTGGTGTTAAGCATTTGTACATAAGAATCCAGTTAAGTATAGACCACTAATTGATAGACAACTATAGACCATCAATTAGTGGTCTATACTGTGTGTATTATAATTTAGAAAATTTTTTTAAAAAATGAGTTAAATACGATAGAAATTTCTAACTACACTTTAATTAATAATAATACGAAACTATTGTCTTTAGACATTAAAAATATGTATCCAAGTATAACCAAAAATAACATTAAAACTCCTTTGCAGAAAATTAAAGCCCTAGAATGTATCAATAAACTCTGTATGTTAGTCGTAGAAAATAATTATTTTCGGTACGAGGATAAATTTTACAGCCAAAAAGACGGGATACCGACGGGTACCTGTATAGGCCCAAGACTGGCGGAGATTGTTACTATAGTAATAGATAAGAGAATTAAAGACATAAAAGGCATTATATTTTATAATGGGTACGTAGACGACTGCATAATTATATTCGATGATAGGCAAACTAGCGAAAAATTAATCTTAAAACAGGTCGATGCTATAGAAGAAAACATAAAATTTGAAGCTGAAATAGAAGAGAATAATAGATTAAATTATTTAGATATAACAATAATTAGAAATAATAATAAATTAGAATATAAAAAATTTATAAAACCTATGCAGATACTGAAAGTACAGAACTTTTTCCTCAATTCGTGTGTAAATGCTTAACACCAGTATAATTGTCCTGTTAATGATTAATGTCCACGTTGACAAAATACATAATAAGAAATTAAATAAGAACAGTAAGGCAATAATAATAATTAGAAACATTTTCCCATTTGAAATTACAACAGAATTATTATAATGAATTATACACAATATAAAAAGATTATTGCAATTTTACTTCAATAGCTATTAATTTAAATTAGAAATTATATTCTTATTAAACAAACAGATAAAAAATATTTGATTTATTTCTTTACTAACTATTTAAATATTTAACTTTAGCTACATTTTGAGATATCAGTTACAAACTAAATATAAAATTTCTGATATCAAAAATCATATTTTACCATTAACAACAATGATAAATATTGATGTAAGTTTATAAAACTTTTATGTAAAAAAACTGAAAATAATAAGAAGTTTTTTAAAAGTATAAAATCATTCACATGTTTTGTAAAAGGAAAGTTTTAGAAAGTTGAAATTATACGGATACATACATACAAATCTTATTAAAACAAATAAGAGCACTGAAAAGTTGATCCAAATATCAGATCATAACTGTTAGAATAGATATATAAATGCATTTAAAAGTCATAGAAAAAACAGACGTAAGTTTAAAATGTATAAAAAAATCATTTAGGTTTTATAAAGACGTTAACTTCATCAAAGTAAATGTTGTTAGTCCATGGCACATAAACGTGACTAGACTGCTTTTAGATTCAACAGAGCCATTTTATATAATTCAACTATTATAAAAATTAAAATTGTTATAAATCATATTTATTAAAAAATAATAATAATAATAGATGAATTATATAATGAATAGTATATTAGTTAGGTGGGGGTGGAGTGACTTGTCTACCTTCTTCTTTCTGTTGTTTCATTTGTTGTTTCATCCGAGCTAAAATTTCTTGCATTCGACGAAGTTCCGCTTCTTTCTCTTCTAAAATTCTATCTGTTTCTTCCGGTTGGGCACTAAATTTAATTTACAATTAGATTAATATAATATTTTATGTTATAAGATTCACATATGGTACAATACTACTGTACTGTATATAAGTAAATTTTAAAAATATACAAAACAATTTTTAATAGCGCAGAAACACATCACATCAGATGAATGAACTATTGCATAATTGTTTACTACTTTAATCCAATGAATAAATAATCTTAGCTTTATTTTAAAACGCAAAACTAATTCAAATGTTATTAATTGAATTGGTTTTGAGTCGTATTCAATGGAACCGACGATTTAAAGGCAATCTGAAAATGAAAATAACCTTGAAAACCTTACATAATCAGTGTTGAAAAATATTTTTTAATGTTAGGAGTTTATTTATTGACTTTATTAAGTTTAAAGAAGTAAAAGATATGTAATTTAACATTCTTACAAAAGTTAATATATACACATTCTTATCAAATCTTAAACATTTACTCTCTTGTTTAGAATTGAAAATTATTTAAATGTTTTTCTGCCACATTACCACACATTCATAGAATATATTCTGCAGAAGCATGCAATATTTTTATCACTTTTAGACTGAAATTTTAATTAAAATTGACTCAAAATTACATATATATTTATAAATACGGAGTTCAAAACAATAAATCAGTAACCTAACCGATCCAAATTATTCAGGAATTTCTTGTCAAAAAAATTATACACCCGTTATGCTCCAATGTGAAATAAAACCTTTTGAGTTAACAATGTGTAGTTAACTGTTTTTAATATCTGTTATAATTCTGTACATGATGAACTGGAATCTATTAATAATATGTCACACCTTTCCACACTATTTCCAGCAAAACATTTAATAAAACTTAACAAAACGAATGTATAACACATAGTTACAGCTATAGGTTAATAAACAGGCTAACCTGCACAATACAGGAAAATATGAAAACTGGAGCTGTAAATACATGACGACAAATAGCAACAAAAATAACATTGTGGTTGACTTTGACCCCAGATTGTGCAAAACTTACAAAATCATAGCCAAAAAAGTTAAAGCTGATTTAGCATACAAACGTAACCAATCAGTATACATAATATTCACCAACAGTAAAGACACCGGAACAACTGGAATATATTCCGTACCGTTGGTCGATTGGAGGTTTGATAGAAAGCTAACATATGTACTCAACAAATAGATTGTTGACACAAAGGATAGCAGAGCACAAATACAATACTTGTAACAATAGCTCAATACCACCCTAGCAAAATATGTTAGTGAGCCAGGAATAATAACAAAAAGGAAGGAAGCCAAAATCATAGAGACACTAGAAATTGCTACCGAATAACCCCTTAAAAAATGAGATCACTTACATTTATAGCCAGGGCCAGTAGTAAATATATACTTCTGGTTAATGCATACACATATATCATTGTTATATACTTGCTGTAAATTTATTTCAACCACTTACGTTAAAAATTTTATTTACTTGTGATGTCAATTTCTTTACATAACTTAAGGTATACAGAAAATACACTTCGAAATAATGATGCCATAAGAACATTAACAGTGTTCCAAATTTGTATTCTATTTATACATTTGATTTCCGACTGTTAAAATCTGAAGCAGATCATTTAATGTAGCCGAAAACATTTCTTTCGTTAAATTTTATTAAACTGTTTTGCTGGAAATAGCGTAAAAGGTGTGACTTATTATATCCGTTAATTTTTTTCCCCTCCTTTGAGTTTTTTTAATCAGGTGAATAAATTATGGACACACTGTATATTAATCTTACTGTTTCTAAATTTCTAATAATAACAAAATCTAAGCATACTTATGTGATAAAAATCCACTACTTTTATAAAATTCAAATCTCCATTTTTCATACTATTAAAAATTTTTCTGAATAAATATGTTAAACAAAGTGAAATTTGCAAAGTCTATAAGAAAAACGTTTCTTTACAGAAAATACAAAATTTTAAATAGATTTTTACCTAAATATATTTAAATGACAACAGTTCAAGCAGTACATATTACAGTAATATCCCAAACTTATGCGATAGGTGGGACCAAACGATAACCGCGTAAGTCAAATTCGCGTAAGTTGGGGTATAATTTCGCAATTTGTGTAAATTCCAAGTCGGATGTATGTAAGCTAATAAATGTTCTAGTTAATCTTATCTTGTCTTTTGATTCGTTCACGGTTACAAGAAATCACCACATAGAGTCTCTCGAGTCTCCGTAGATATAACAAACACAGAAATAAATAACACAAAATAAATTGTAGCTATGTGTCGATTCCACGCTACATGTCCGAACATGTAAGCTGAACAATAGTGTGGGGGGAGTGAGTAATCAAAAGTTGCATGGCGCTCAAACAAAAGACGAATCGACGAAATTTGAAAATTGCGTAACTCCGGGTATTACTGTACTTACGTTATCATGAAAAAATTGCAAAAGTAAACTTACTTCGGTTTCCGCCAACCAGCTTTACCTGCCAAACGTTCAGAACGATAATTTTCATAATGAACTTCTTGAGTAACTTCTTGTAAATCTTGCATATGTGTTCTATTAAAAATATCAAATACTTTTAATATATGAATTCTTAGATTATTTAATAAAAAGTTATGGAAAATATAATTAGCATTTGTTCTTTTATATAATTTTGTTTTTCAATACACTATAAAAAAGTGCATAATTCATCGCTTAACTTTAATTGGGATTAAGATATAGATTTTCTTACATTAACATAGTCCTTAATTTAGAAAAATCACAATGTTCGGGATTTTCTACTTCAACAACACCCCAAGGATATAATCTTCCTCTAACTTTTCTGTTTTTAACATCAATAGTTTGCAAAGCAGATGATATTGCAAAAGGAACAGCCTCCTATGTAATAAAATATATTAACAATAATTCATTCGTAAATTTTATAAAATAATTTAGAATTCAGACTTATTATATTGAAGTATTTATAAATGTTTCAACTAAAACTAAATTGTGTATATGAAATTGTATATTTTTAATAATTTTATAAAATTATATATTTAAAAAATAATGATTTAGGTCTTAAACATGAAAACAGCATGCTTTATATTGTAAAATATTTAGAGATGTTTTCATAAATTTACCATATTTCATAATTATATAGACAGGATTCCTATTCAAATTTTTGTTTTAAATTCCCTGACTAACTTTGTACAAATTCCCTGACCCTCACATCCCTTACAGTATGGCACATCGACAAATAAAACAGTACAGATATACCTTGACTTACGTCGTTTGTCAAAAAAGTGTATGGAAAAATAAAAATCAAGTTTAAGTCATTTTATACGACTTTACGTCTGTCCGTCACAAATATTGAAGTCGTAATATCACTAGAAAAATATTTAAAGCACATAAAATCATATTATAATATATACATTTACAAGTATATACTGTATTTACAGTACACGCGTTCGTAAATTTAGATTACTTTTTTCTGTACCATATTAAAAACTAAAAATTATTTGTTTGTAAGCTTAAAATAGATCCTTATTAACCATATATTATTAAAAATGCATTAATAAATAAAATACAGAACGGAAATTGGTAATTTATGGTTTAGCCTAGTGGCAAGTAAATTCGGAGACAAGTAAATTCGACTTACGTCGTTTTTCGACTTAAGCCGTTCTCCTGGAACCAATTACCGACGTAAGGCGAGGTATACCTGTATTTGAATTACTATGCATGTACACTATTGCTTCTCCAACTTTTTAATTAGTTATTTTTCTAATTAACAGTTTTCTATTCAATAATTTTTTATAATTGCTACATTATTAAAACTAAATTTATCCTGTTATAAATCCACAAACATAACTCTACATGGGTTTGACAAGAAGAAAAAAAGCCATTATTTATTTATTATTCATTAACAATCCTGTATAATCCATGTACAAAAGTATATATTTATTAAGTTTATCCCTTAATACATTTCCCAAACTTTATAAAATATTAATAAACTAGAAAAAATCAAAAGTTGTTTTGTTAAACAACTGACATTATTGAAATGAAAAATGATAAATAATAACATTTAAATTAAAATTATTTATCACTTTGTGTATTTTGTAAATTTTTAAGGAAATTTTGTGTATGCTTGGGAGAAATTTTGGATCCTGAAAGTATTCTACACCTCTTTTCATAAGTTGTATTGCACCACATTACTTCTTGCTGCCTGCAGAGGGCTACACTAGGGTGACCAGATATTGATGTAGTCAAAGTAGGACATTTGAAGTTTTATAATGCTTCCCAGTAGGACATTTGACAACCCAGCTTAAAACAATAGAAATCGGTAGTAAAAAAGCACAAAACACTAAAAATTGATAAGTAAATAATTTTAAATTGATATACTACTCTTGTTGTTTCAAATACTACTCTTTGTTGCAATTGTACCCATTATTTAAATAAAAATACAGTGGTACCTCAGGATACGAAATTAATCCGTTCCGAAACTGAGATCGTATCATGAAAATGTCGTAAGGTGGATCTTCTTTTCCCATACGATTACATGTAAAACCAAATAATTCGTTCCAACGCGAAAAACATACTCAAATTAAAGCCAAGTAATACATAAAAAAAAATAACTGTAGTAAGAAAAACAAATGAAAAATGCGAACTAATGTAACGTCGTATGGTGAGTTTTTGTTCGTATCGTGGAGCAAAAATATGTTCGAATTTCATGTCGTATCCTGAAAATTTCGTATGCTGGGGCGTTCGTAACCTGAGGTACCACTGTATAAAAAAAAAAGTTTGTTGTTATTATTAATGACTACCTATTGGCCCAGAAGTAGTTATCTGTGACAGTAGGACATAGAACAAAAGGTGTAATTGTAGGACATGTCCTCCTACAGTAGGACGGGTGGTCACCCTAGGCTAAACTTAGTCAAGCACATTATCGGCAAAAAATCAACAAAGCAGCCAAGACTTTTTCCGAACATAAATGAAAATCCCTGATTTTTTCTGACTTTCCAGGTGCGTAGGAACCCTATACAGATTTAAACTATTAAATTATTTGTAAATTTTCATCCAAATGGCAATTATTAAGTTTCTGAAGACAGCTTTTTTAAATCTACATTTTCCAGCGCTCATTTCCAGTAGATAAAAGCCATAACATCCCAAAAAGGTATGGATGGAAGCAAGAAAGAATTCGGTATGTCACCAGTTCCTTTTTTAGAAATTTTTGTAATTTTAATTGAATTTCTTTTGTGTTTTTAAAAGGACTTTTTTAACTTCTGGCGACCAGTAACCTAAAAAGAAAGGTCAGTCGCCAAGAAGTGTGTAGTCTGGAACACGAGATAAATAAATAGTGGTTCCTTTTTTGGACAGACTTTGTCTTCAGAAACCTATATATAACTGATTTAGATATAATTCATTATATGATAAATTATTCAGAATAAAAATTCAATTAAAACAAATTAGCAAAATGAAAAAGTCAAAGTTTTAATATACAATAACTTTTCCAAAGCATCTTCAGGTTTTATTCTCAGACACAACTAAGTTCTAAATTAAATATATCAATACATGTTTTAATTCAGAATTTAATTGTAAAGATGTTTCAAAAATAATGATATTTTGACTTTTTAAACTTTGATGATTTACTTTAATTAAATTTTTAATTTTTAGAATAAATTGTTAAATATATTTCAGAAAATAATCTTACTATATTCATGATAACAATTGTCATTAAACGATAATCAAATATTATTTCTTAAAAATACTAAAATCTAAAAAGATTATTAAATAAAATTAAAAAAAAACCAAACCTTTAATTCCCTCACTTGCTCTTTGTAATCTTCATCCTCATCAGAATCACAATCTGGAAGAGGATATAGACGAATTCCATTATCTTCAATTTCCTGCATTACCTGTAATTATTTTTTAATAGTTAATAAAAGTTAAATATATTTGTCAACAATGGATTCTGTTAATGTCATCTCTATCTTACATGTGTTAAAAATTATTAAAGAAAAATCTAATCATTATTGTATGATATAAATATTGTCGATTTTATTTAAAATATTTTCATACAATTTGAAATACTTGCCCTTTTTTTCAACACAATTAATTCCTTTTTAGTAAGAGCGTCAGCTTTTGCAATAACAGGAACAATATTAACCTTATTGTGTAGCTGTTTCATAAATTCTATGTCAAGAGGTTTCAGACCATGGCCAAATGGAGAAATGAAATAAAAACAACAATGAACCCGATTGTCTGTTATGTTTCGTCTATTCAATCCACTTTCGTCTCTCAAGAATCTTTCAAATTGTTCATCAATATATTGAATAATTGATTTAAAACTGAAATTAAAATTAATTTTATTCAGATATATCAATTGTTATATTTAATAAAATTATTTGTTTATAATTAACATAATTACAGATGTATCAATATTTATCGTGATAGAATAATTAAAGTTATTTTAAGGTTATTCTGTCACAATTGTATTGTAATACAGTAGAGCCTTGAAAACTCTGCCTAATGTGGACCGAAGGGTGGCCGAGTTTGTGAAAATGCCGAGTTATCGGGAATGGGGTTAAAAATGGATAAGTATGCGTGTTTCCTCAGAAAATATTGTACTGTACTTGTATGTATTGTTTGCTTGAGAATACAACAGAGAATAAACTGCCCAAATACCCTTAAACAAAGGAAAAGTACGTCCTTTATGAAGGCATAGAGCCTTTACTACATGAAAATGAAAATTAATGAATACACTGTGTACAGTAATTTACCTGATAAGACAGACCTCAGAAAAATACTTTATGAGAGCTTTTATACTTTTATAAAGCTGTCTATAATGAAAATTAATTAACTAAGGATTTTTTTGCCCTGCCAGGGTGTGGCCGAGTTATCCGGAGTGCCGGGTTATCGAGTGCTGAGTTTTCGAGGCTCTACTGTAATACAAATTTTTGTTAAAGTATGCTGTAAAATTTTTATACACATACAGATTTATTCACTTTTTTAAATCTGAGAAAGTTATAATTTTAAATTTATTTTTTAAACACTTTTGTTGCCAATTTATGTGATTTTCCATCACACGACCTTTGTTACAATATGCTAATGATGCAATTTTGCATTATTTGGATGCTAGAAGTTTTTGGTAAATTGTACACACATTATTTTTTACTATCTGGAAGTGAAAAAACATTTTAGAGATTATATTTTATTACTTGGTTTCTTACTTTCCTAGAACATATTTAACTATAATGGTTTTTTCTTCATTTATATCCTTCGGAAGGTGCCGGTGACTCAGTTTTGTATCATCACGTATAATTATATAAAGATTACTTGAAATAAAAAAATTCTTTTTATCTTTGTATAACAGTAACATACTTTATGAAAAATGAATCAGAATATTTGTATCAACTTTTTCAATGGCAGCATAAAAAGTGTTAAAGCTTTTATTTTGTTAAGAACATTTGATTGGGATGCAATTTGAAAAAATTGTGGAACTATAAATTCCCACTCATCCTCTGTCTGTCTTTCATTAATCTCGAGAACAGAGTTAGATAGATGAAAGACGAGACCGCGAGACCAGATTTGGAAACCCCAATTAACTATATATGAACTTCCAATGCAAACCAGAAGTCACATTATTTCAATTGAAAAATTTTCCCGAAAGGTGTTAGATAGATGACTGACACAACTTTACTGTTAAAGGAAAAGTATGATATGGAGGGGTAAATCACTACTAATTTGAGGCGGAGAGAATATATTTTAAATTAAATTAAATAAAAATATGATTAAAAATTGCAGCCCAGCATTGTGATAATGTCACAATAAATAATTGCTCACTTTTTAATTGTTTCTTTTTATTTGAAAGAATGTTTCTCTAACTCTAATTGTTCTAATAATGAAACTGAGGATACATTTTTGAAAATGATGCTTTGTATATTTGTTAAGATATATATTTAGATTTAAAGCACTCAAAAAACTAAGCGAGAAAAGGTATAATTAATTAAAGATAATTGCATTAATAAAAATAATGCAAGTTGTTTATTAATGATTTTTCTAGTTATATAAAAATACAATTTGTTTTTTTTTCTGCTTTGCTTAAAAGTGCTAAAGGTCAAACTACATGTATTAGTAGGTGGTTGATGTACTTTACACGATGACATAAAAATCAGCTGCTAAAGTTAAAAACCACTGTGCAATGGATTTACTATGGTTAAAAGCCACCACAAGTTCGGGACGTTAACTAATAATCATGTGATGATAAAAAAATAAAACTTTCTTTTTTGTTATGATTTATTTATCTTCAATCATCTTATGTTACTTTTCATCTGCCTTACAAAAGTAACGAATTTTTGAATCACAAAATACTATCAGATCCACTTTCAATCAATTTTTCAGTGTCACCAATTTTTACGAAATCAAATTGTTTAAGACAACTGATGATATTACTTTGTTGATAGAGATTGGCTGCATTTTTTAAGAAGCTGAGCATATTTTGTTTCTTGAAGTAATGTTTCTTATCGTTCGTCACTGATGAAAAAACTGTGACCAGTACTTGTCTTCATTAACTCATTTAATTTATTGTAAAATATGTTCTTTTTACTAGCCACAATTAGTGCACAGATGTTCCCACTTGAAAATGACAGTCAAGAATGAACACAGCACAAACTCTGCAGGTGTTTGCAACGTGCCCGTTGACAAGTTACAACCTGTCCGTCATATTGTGGTTGCATCAGCTAATGTTCGAACACATTATGTCTTTTTTAAATCACTGCAATGCGTAATGGTCAAATACCATGAAATCTAAGATGTGAATTTCGCTTGTCTTTTTTGAGTTAGTCACAAAGCTTGTAGCTTCAACTGTTCAATATTTGCGTTGTGGATGATTTAGAGACCACAACGTGTTGCGGATGTTTTTTTTCGCTGAATGAGTGTTTTCATTCTTTGAGCCTAACATATATATAATGTCCAACAAAAATATTGCATTTCATCTAGTCATAATAAACGAAGAAAATTTATATCACTCATAAAAGTGAAGAGTTGTAAAATAAGTATCAGCAAAACAGATATCTTTGTATTAAAATCATGTTTTATCCTTGTGTTAGTTTGAAAGTGCTTTATAATTAGGAATATGAAATTCAAAAGTTCATTTAATATAGATTTATCAACAAAAAAAAAATCATATTTGTGTTTAACAAATTTCTAACTATTCTCAAATACCTTTGAAGTTTCTTAGGATTTTTAAATTTAATTTCAAATGTCTCCAAAGATTATAAAGTTTAATTATGTTATTTTATTTAATTTTAAACATTAAAAATCAAAATTACTTATTGTGATTATTGTGACATTGTCACAATGCTGGGCTGCAATTTTTAATCATAATTTATTTTAAAATATGCTCGCTGTATCTGGTCTTGATTTTCATGTATCTAAGTCCATTCTTGAGAAACTTTTGAATTGAAATCATGCGACTTCTGGTCCAGACTGGCAGTATGTATACAGTTAATTGGAACCGCCAGCCTCTAAGGTTTTTGTATCCGGTTTCAATTTTTATATAACTGTTCTAGAGATTAAAGGAAGGAAGGAAAGATAGATGGATATCAGTGGGAATCTATAGATCTGCAATTTGAAAACTGTAACCAAAAAATAGTTTTGCCAGGTACACAAATATACCATACCTTAAAAATTTAGATGTATAAAGTCACACGTTGAATATTTCAAAAACAATAAGACAATTATAAAACAACTTTTAAGTAAGAATAAACATTTTTTTGATGTTTACAGCATTTTGATTGTATATATTTTATTGTTTTATATAACTAGTCTATAAATCAAATTAAATAGTAGTAGTAAACAAATGAAGTTATAAGTAACAACATTTAAATGATAAAGAAACAAAGATATATATTCATTTTGAATATATATTTACCAATCAGTATTGTCAATAGCATCCCCATAACCAGGAGTATCTACAACTGTTAATCTAAGTTTAACACCTCTTTCTTCAATTTCAACAGTTGAAGCATTCAATTTAACTGTCTGCTGAATTTTTTCTAAAAAATTATAAAATTTAATAATTAAAATCATTATTTTTTACAATAATTTTATATGTTTGTTGATATTATATATTTGTAATGTTTATAATTCAAATTTTGTTTAAAACAATAAACTATATTCTAATTTTTTCCTTACAGAAAATTCTCAAACAATCTATATAGATATGCTTTTGTTCTAAATAAATTGTTTTATTATTCTGAATTGTTCAATGATTTTTGGTGCTATATTCCAAACTTAAAACTTTAAAAAAACTTACCAGTTTCAATACAAGTAAACAAACTACAATCTATACTATCCAGTGTAAAATTTACAATGAAATAAATAAATCTAATTAGCCATTGGCTAATGTAAATTTTATGCCAAGTTTAATTTCTCCAGCTTTATCAGCTAGCTATATTAATAAAATAATGTTGTCTTTTATAATGCCGAATCAAACAAATGTTAAAACAGAAGTTTAAGGTATATTATGCAATAAATGAAAACTTTACACACATTAAAATTTATTGAATTTGGGGGCAGGTTTATGTTTCCATGTTTCCCATAGAAAGTCCTCCTAAGGGTGTGACTATGCAGACATGAATTTAGTAGCGAGCGAGAGGTTGCGAGCGATATAATTCTTGCAAAGGAAAACTATGCACAAGCGAGAAGCGAGAAATATTGCTGGCGAGAGCGAATTTCTGGTTGTCGCATATATCTGACAGGGTTTGATATTCATCGCGTCTCTCCTCTTCTTGCCAGATATTCTCGCTTGCTCGGAAAATTTGCTCGCTCGCGTCTGCATAGTCGCATCCTAAGAGGCAATCTCTCCTTGACAGACAAGGAGAGGCATCCCTTCTTAGAAGATCACTTACGTACTGTCTTGACTCATCTCATCAATCCAATTCAACCCTTTCAATAACAGAATAATTTTGGTTTGTCATTTGATGTTAAAAGCTAGAAGTACTTTTGGTATTTAATTGAAAACACTGAATAAAAATAAAATTAAAAGTGTGTCAATAATATAAATTTATTAAATTTTGCTGATAAATTAGTTACGATTGTCCCTCTTTGATTTATTAACTAAAATAGAAATATTATATCATACAATTAACTATAAAATTAATTTACTTTTTTTGATATACAACATCTAAAATGGTTTATCTTCAATTTAAATTTACTGTATTTAAATGTGGTACGCACAGAAATATTGAAGTTAGATTTTACAATTCACATTTTTGATATGATTAGTTATTTGTCGTCATTGAATTCAATTATTTACAGAATAAGTTATTAACTTCCAAATGTGACCAATTAAGTTAAACGGTAACTTATCTCTGCAATCTTAAATCATGCAACATTAATGAGTGCAATTTTAATATATTAAAAATAAAAGAAAAATATAAATATGTAACATTACCTGCAGCATCTGGAATATTTCTGTCTGGATAGAGATCAGTTAAAAATAAACTGTTAATTAATGTTGATTTTCCTAATCCAGATTCACCTGGAATTAAAAAACAAAGAAGGATCTAGTTTAAAATTTAAATCTATTCATTTAAACATAACAAATTTGTCTGGCATTGAATTACAGTTTAATTAGTGTCAGATAAATTAGCATTAAATTCTGTACAGTAGACCCCCCCTATAATACTGTAGCTAATTCCGTGTTATATGAATTCCATGTTGTACGAGTCACTTGGATTTTACAAATACGTGTACCGGGCTGCGAATGGCTCAAGTATTTGTAAAATCAAAGTGACTCGTACAACATGGAATTCATATAACACGGAATTATCTACAGTGTTATAGGGGGGTCTACTGTAATGTGTTTAATCTTTAAAGTTAAAATTATAAATTTATAAACTTTGAGATTACAATAGATTATTCGAATAATGTATAAATTATTACCAGAAAAGTTTACGCATTGCAGCTTTTACAGTATTAACAGTTTTTAAAAGAATTTGTGTTTACTCTTTCCGCCCTTTGCTAACAGATTCGAGATGTTATTAAAGCTAAATTTTTGTTGGATTTTAATTATCTCTAATATCATTGAACAACAATTCCATAAGGATTATCAATTTCCTTCAATAAATACTTCACAATGTAAACATTTTCAGAAATCTTCATCGGTGAGAAAAATAAATTTATAAATGCATTATTAACAAATCAAATATGCTTTGTTTCGTTGAACTAAATATTCTAAAATTAATATTCAATCATATAATATTATCAAATCAATAAAACTGTTTGATATTTGGCTCTTCAAATATCAGAAAAATGCCAAAAATTCCAGATAAAAGTCAGGTTAATTATGTTAAATAATGATTAATAGTTATTATGATAATATTCTAAATTTATATGCCTGAATCAATGTCTTTCTGGAGGGTAGATAACATAAATAATGAACTAAACTATTAGATAGGAATTATTGATTTGAATCCTTTTTCAAGCAATATTTTTCAGATAATAATTTCAGGAATAATTCTTTTACAGTTTATATAATAATTATTATTAATAAATTAATGTGACCAGATGTTAGCTTAGCTTTATTTGGCTCGTCGTCACTTTTTCTACTTTTATTTTCCTGGCTGTTAGATATACATAACAGGGGATGTGTGTGTGTGTGTGTGTGTTGGCATCTATTTTGTTTCATATATCTCAGGATGGGGTAAAGATTAAGAAACAAAATTTGGCATAATAGCTTATGTATAAGGAACATTAATGCAATTAAATTTTGGTGGTTAAATGTTGAGGAGGTGGGGAAATACAGGGATCATGTGTCATATTTTGAGAGGGGTCAGACTTAATGAGAATTACAGTAGAGCCTTGATTATCCGACCCCCGATTAACCGACCGCCCTAGTTGGCAAATTTCAAATGTCTGCTAGTGATGTGGTGCTACAATATTTGGCTATGTCTGGCTACTTTAATATTATTTTTACGTGTTTTAGCTGGCAACACTCATTTGACCATGAAAGGGAGCCAGTATTTAAACGAGGCTTAATTTTCTAATTTTTAACGATACAATAGCGATGATTATTATTTTAAAAAATTTTTGTTAGGCTTAACATCAATGAAAATTCAACGCGAAGTAGGTTAATAGCGATATACTAATATACTAATTACATGGGATATAATAATATACTACACTAATAATGGATTTTTTCATACTTTTCGGTTATCCGACTTTTCAATTATCCGACCAACCCCAGTCCCCAATTGGGTCGGATAATCGAGGCTCTACTGTATACTCATTATTAGCATTTACAATTTTTTTTTTTTAAATAAAACTCAATCTCTATCTTCAAAGTTAAACATTTTGCCATTTTATTATAATTAATAATATAAAAACTTTTTTAAAATAAAATCTCTTTTTATTTATAAAAAGAGGGTTGAGAGACAATTTTTAAAAAGAGGGACAAGAGATTTTTAGGGGTGCTGCTGTCATTTGCATTAGATCGGGCGTAGTCACTTTACTATACCGTTACCTCACTTGCATAGCTGTAGCTCTCTCTGTTCGCAAGAATTTTCCAGTTAAAGGGACTTTCCTATGCAACCTGTATATAGACTAGGGTAGCAATTTTAAGTCATTCTGATGGCATTATCTGGTGTGCAATCAAATCACAACTATAATCATTTACATGGTTGTTCATTTTCTCTAATCTCATCTGAGTTACATATTACACTTTGTTTATTCACGGAAAATAAATTATATCTAGAATGATTGATTGATACATTATAAGAAAAAACAATAAGCTAGTAATGAAACCTGCTTTAATATATTCAAATTTTTCAAATATTAGCTGTTAATATATACAAAAGAAAATACTGACAAAATAATTGTAAAATATCTTAATATTTTAAAGTGTTTTGTAAAATATTAAAATTTTATGCTTTCTTTATAATTTTATAGCATACCACTCCACATTACAAATTTTATAGTAGGTTATAAAAAATTAATAGTCTATTTAAATATTAACAGTCCTGTAATTAGGAATGAATGTGAAATTTGTCATTCAAATATTTAAATGATTTTATGAATAAAATCAAGCAAAAAAGCTCTAACAACCCATCTCTTTGGCAATACAGCTCTCCCTTAATAGTCCGACAGGTATGGGACCAAAGGGGTGTTGGATTACCAAAAGTGTCTGGATTACTGAAAATAATTACATATTTTGCATTGTTTTGCTAGCAGTAGCTTACAATATTCCCTACTCCAACTGTTTGAACAGAACTGCTCACAGAAAACACACAAAATGTGTGTCATCGTGTAAGAATTGGATGGGGAGATTCACGTCGCGACATGCTTCTGTGCAAGCAGACACATAACGGGGATGGGTACCTTGACGGGAGATGCATCGGACTACTAGCATGTCGGATTAAAAAACGTCGGACTATCAAGGGAGAGCCGTACTACAAAAGAAAGTAATAACATTGTATAATCGATTAATAATTATTAGTTAGTTAATATTCTTACTTCTGTCAAGTGAGATACAACATAACAATGATTGGGAAAGTAACATTTGGAGAAATGTGGCTAGACCATTTACATTCCTATCTGAGACATAACTGTATGCTGAGTTTTATAGTAATCAGACGATTCTATCTGGATGTGTTTTTTGGACAATAAGTGTGAAAACAGAAGACCATATTTATATAACTTGGCATTTTCAATCTAACCACCTAACCTAACCATTGTCCAAACTACTTGGTATCTTAACATTTAGTTAGGACATATTATAGCCTGATAAGAATCTTGCTGTATCATTTGATTATTAATGTATGTTAGGTTGGTTTTATATGTAAATTTTTTTTATTTTTAATATTGTTCTGATTTAACTATTTCAATTGTTTGAAATAAATCATGAAATTTTAACAATTCAAATTCATCAATTAATTATATATTTACCAGGGCTGTGGAGTCGCATAAAAATCTACCGACTCCAACTCCGACTTTTCCTTATCATCCGACTCCGACTAAAACACCAAAACTCCACGACTCCGACTCAACAGCCCTGCCAGGGCTGTGGAAGTTGCATAAAAATCTACCGACTTCAACTCCGACTTTTCCTTACCATCCGACTCCGACTCCGGCTAAAACATCAAAACTCCACGACTCCGACTCCACAGCCCTGATATTTACAAAAATTTCACATAAAAATCTTACCTACTACAATTAAAGTGAACTCAAAACCTCTTTTCACTGATTTCCGATGAACTTGATTGGGAAGATTTGCAAAACCCACATATCCGGGCGTTTCAGGATTAGATAACTAGATAAAAAATATATTATTATTAAATATTAAAATAGCATATTCATAATTATTTTAACAAATCTAGTTATGACATTTTTATATACTTGAACAATATTTTCCAAAATTTGTTTTTAATGACGACTTGCGTTATATGATTTTATCTCTTATCCAAAATTTTAATTTATCCAATTAAATATATTTGTTTCTTATAAACAAACATAACTTTTATTATATGATAAAATACATTATTTATAGTCATTATTTCTTTGAAAAATAATCTTAGGTTAACAATATATTCCTGTAGATTGTCTAAAAATTAGAATAATCAAGCTGTTGAATAAATACTGTATTTAATTCAAAGTATTTTTGAAAATAAAATTAGATCTATTTAATTATTTATTTATTTAAGCTTTTGTTTGATTGATTTTAATCTTTTGAAAATGGATCAGGACAGATCCAGAAATATTAAATCACTATCAACTTTTAGAAAATGGCTTTTTCTTATTGTTTTATAACTTCATTAATGATGTTGTTATACCTTTAATTGTTTTTGTGCTATAATTTTGTGCATATTTAAATTAAAACACTAATTACTTCAAATGCTGTTTTATAAAAATGAATCAAAATTAGCTTGTCTTCAAGCATGCATAAACTCATTGTTACAAGCACTGTACAATTGAATATATTTTCCAATAAATCAGTTTTGTTACTTGAATCTAATACAGAAAAAATAGTAGTTAGGTTCTTATAAAATCTTATGTAGTACAAAACTACGTTTGTATACAACTAAGAACCAGTACAAATTAAAGGAGAGGTTATGTTCCAAAAGCTAACAAAAATCGACCATTTTAATTTCTAACTATTGGAAAATTTTCTTTTATTAAAAACAATAATAGAAAAAATATCTTATAAATATCAGGAACAAATAGCCGAAAATGGGATATAAAGTTTCTACAGCGGTAGGAAATGCTTGACCGCCCTTCACTTTGGTAGTTAACCTTCCGTCCATTGACGTCATGTTATTGTTCTTGACTTCTTCCTCTGGGGTTATGTAAAGTCCCTTGTGTACGCAACACCTGTAGGAACAGTTCATGAGCTTACAGAGCGCATCTTTGCAGTATTTAACACCATCAGAGGGAAGCGTGGCATCTTACAGAGATTCAGACAAAACATGGTTTGTCATTGCACATTATGTAATGAACTTGGTGGTCGTCACATTGAACATTTACTATGAAGTAGTGCACATTTTATATCACATTTCCGGCTATAGGTTCCTTATATCAAAACATTCAAAATTTCATCCTCTACAATCCCCAAATTTTTAAAATGTCATTCTGATACACCCTATATACAGTATATGAGAGATAATGTACAGATATCGCTCCATACAACACGGTTTGAAAATTGGGGATATCTCCCATACAACACGACTTATGCTTCCACTCTAACATGGTTTTGGGAATCCTCCGCTTCAAAATTTCACAATTTTTAAGCATAAACTTTGTTATTCAATATTTTTTTATTGAAGTAAGCATGCATATTGTCTCAAATTTTCCCATGGATTTTAGAATATTGATATTTTCGAATTATTTTGTGCTTTTCATCAGGTTTATTTTAATGGAAAAAACTGATAGGACAAGGGAAAAAAAAACTGCACTAACTTTCCTATCAATCAAGTGACATTGTCATTACTTTCAGACTTTAGCCTTTAAAACTGTCAATGTGTTTTCTTTTTATAGATTAATCTTTGTATTTAATAAAGTTTATCTAAACATTTTTAGGTAATGCTATTAAATTGTTTTTTAACTGTAAGTAAGCAATCATTTGTAAAATGACAAATGAAATACAGCAGTATCTTGGTACTCAAACACAAATTCTGGAAAAAAGTCACTCAGTACTTGACTAAACAAACGTGACTCACTAGAACAAATTTTCAATAAATAACATATTTATTTTTATTTTTTCAGAACATAACTACTGTGTTATACAAGGGATACTTGTATGTTGATTAAATTTTCATCATCATCATCACTGCTTAGCACAATCAAATGAGAATGCCTTCTCTGTTGCAGAATATTTTCACTTTTGAACTTTCTTCTGAAGTTTTATATACTATATCCTTGCTTTTTTTAAAAAAATCAGTAATCTGGGTTTGTTTGACAGATCTTTTTAAATTTTAAGATATGGAAATAAGCATTTTTGAAATAACAGTGTTCCTATCAGCTTTAAGATTTGGATTCAAAACATAAAATTCTATTCACTCAGTTAAGGTTTTTGCATATTTAAAAATCCAGCAATGAGTTATGTAACTTTCCTGGTAAAAGAATTTAAAATTGTTTATGGTGCCATCTGTTCTGATATTTTATTTTAAAACTCGTTACATTATTAATTATTATAAAACAGCAAAAGGCTTAATTTGAGGGTACAGATGAATTTTGTAAAATATCACAAATGCTAATAATGAGTAAAATCTTCATTAAGTCCTCATTTGAGTCATAACTCAAATGAGGTCAGACCCAAAGTTATTTGAGTTATGACAAGTTCTCCTCTATCTTCCCACTCCTTTGACCTCTAACCACCGAAAATGAATAGCATGAATCTTCGTTATACACAAATCTCTCTGCAAAATTTCACATATTTCAACAAAAGGCACAAAGTAGGTGAACAAAATCATGCTCCCCCACACACTAATATCCATACATACAAAAATAACCCCAAAAAATTTTTTGATTTTCCAACATTTCAAGGTCCTGAGTCCAAAATGTAAAAGTTTTGGGAATTATTATTTGACTGATTGCCATACTTTCCATCTGTTATATATAACAGCTGAAAAAGTAAAAATTAATGCTTTCTTACAAGCTTTTTAGTGTAAAATTTGGAATTTTGAAATCTTTATCTGTGCTATCATCTACTGAATTGATTTGGTTTCCTCCAGTGATGTATTGGGCGAGAATATGCCAAAATGCCATTCTGATATGTTTTTCTATAGTTCTGGAACCTTTTATCTATTAGGTTGTTTGGAAAGTAAGTTCGTTTTTTTTTTACAACTAGACAGATCAGTCGCATTTTTCCCTCCATTTTCATTCTAAACCGTATTATCATTATATATTTTGACAGCTAGCATTTTAAGGCTTATTTGTAAAAAATTTTGTTTGATTCTGTGCAATTGTTTATTTTTTGTGTCCCATCAAATATGGAAGATCGAAAGCATCATTTTTGGCATATTTTGCTTTTTTATTACCAAAAAAATCAAAAATGCTGTTCAAGCAAGAAAAAAATTGTGGTACATGTATGGAGATGATGTGTTGAGAGAAAGACAGGGCCAAAACTGGTTTACAAAATTTCATTCTGGCAATTTCAATATTGAAGATGCACCACATTCTGGATGGCCAGTTGAAGCCAATGAAAACAAAATAAAGGTACCGATTGAAGCAAACTGCTAAACAACAACACGTGAAATCAATAAGAGATTAAATTTGTCAAACTGAACCGTTTATGATTACTTGAAACAAATTGGTTTCGTTTCAAAGCTCGATATATGGGCTCCACATGTTCTTAAAGAGAGATGCTCTCTTTGGTGGAATTTTAAGGAAATTTTTTTGGAGCTTTTACCAGACACTTTAACAATTGATTCGAAAGTGTACTGCCATCGAGTAAACAAATTGAGTAATATCATCAAACAGAAAAGGCAGCCAGAATTTATCAATAAAACAGGTGTAGTGTTTTACCATGATAATGTCAAATTTCACACAAGTTTGGTAACTGGTCAGAAACTGTTATAACTTAGATGGGATATGCTATCACACCAACCACATTCATCAGATCGAGCACACTCGGATTATTACTTGTTCTGGTCTATACAAATTTTTTTAACTGTAAGACATTTACTTGAAATGACAATGTCAAAAATCACTCGGATCAGTTTTTTGTAAGCAACAATCAAAATTTTTATGAATGTGAAATCATGCTACTACCAGAAATGATGACAACAGGTATTTGACCAAAATGGTTGATATATAATTCAATAAAATATTTATTTATTATGAAAATATTGTGTTTTTCCATAAAAAAAACAAACTTACTTTCCAAACAACCCAATATGTACATACAAAATATATAATTACAAATAGTATACTTAAATATTCAATGATACAAAATTGATGTAATGGAGAAAAGAATAAATTTGCTTTCATTTTCGGAAGCAAATCCAATATATAAATCAAAACTGATTAGATAATTAATGGCTTCTTAAGCTCAGACAAGTTAAAATCTCATTTATGTAGCCACTTCCAAAACTACACCAGGAAATATTCAACATCCATCTTTCTTTATTAACTACTTGACTCTTCTAACTAAAACATTACATTAAATATGTTTTTATCATATTAAAATTTTCAAAATGATGGAAATATTTCACAGATTCATGTTTTAATCTATTTGACTTTGAAGATTTTTCCCTGCAGTTTTTTTTTACTAGTGTAGAATCTAATGTTTTTAAATAAGCATCAAATCTGAATGATAGATGTTCTTTCTTTTTTTAAACTTATTTAAAGTATTCTTTTAGCTTTTAGCATTTTCTAGCTACATGGCAATAAAACTTGGAATTACATCAATCTTAAACTATTTATCATTCATTCCTCAACAAATAAGAGCTGTATTTATATTATACATTTTTAGAATAAATTTCATCCTGTTTATTTTTGAAATATTTTTAGAAAAGTACAGTATATAAATATTTATAAAGTTTATATAGATACGTAGATCCCATTTCTAATTTTTCCTAATGTAGTTCTATTTGTATATACTATTACCTATTGACCACTCTTTTTACTTAAATAAAAAAACAAGGTATTATTCTTTTTAATTCAATATAATGGGTTATCAAGAAGAGCTTTTATATGTCAAGCTCAATATATATTAATTAAGGACTTAATTTTGTCAAAGCTGTCTTGATAGTAAGACTTCATAAGCCATCATTGTTAGAGGTAAAGTATATAATATAATTCTATTTCATGTGGAACAATCTTTTTACATTTTATATTTACAATCAACCCCCCTATAATACCTGATAATTCCATTTTATATGAATTCCATGTTGTACGAGTCACTTAGATTTTACAAATACATGTGACGGGCTGTGAACGACTCAGGTATTTGTAAAATCTAAGTGACTCGTACAACATGGAATTCATATAAAACGGAATTATCAACAGTGTTTATCTTTGATGTTGAATTGTCTTATTTCAATTAACCAAACAGCTAGAAATTACAGGCTGTTTTTATGTTAATTTAATGGCTGTTTAGTCGACTGATAGAACTATGGTTTATTACATAACATCTAATATTGACATATACATGCTTGTCAACTTTATATTATAGATGAGGCTAACTTGATAGCTAGGAAAGGCTGAAAAATAAAAACACAGTTTGTAGAAAGATTATGGACAAAACTTGCTTCATTTTTAAGCATTTATTCAATTTTCATTCTCTTCATAACAATAATAGGTTTAATGTTATCTTTTCCAGTTAGTAGTGTATTTATAGCATAGTACACATTGTACTATATATAATCAGTTCTTATATAAAAAGTTAATTATCTCCAGAAAAAAATTATAGAAATTAATAATTCCTTATACTTATAATCTGTAACCTAGAGAATGTGATTTTGGCACGCAACTTAGATTTACAATAATTTTCAAGTTGGCTTTCTCATATCAAATAGCAGATGATCTTGTACATCTATCACATTTGGAGATGAAATTTTGTATGTAGCAACTTTTTAAAAAGAAAAAGATTACATTTTCATAATTTAATCAGAAATTTAAAGTTTTCAGCGAAATTCTTTTATGCATATCGCAATATTAATTCGAGGAAAACTGCCGTACAAGTAAACTTGGGATTTTTACTATTGGTTATAAATCCATGTTTGTGAAGACAATGTATTAAACATGTCATTAGATATAACCTTACTTTTAGTTATATCTAATCTAATATACTTCTGGAAGCGAAGACTCGCTCAGGGTCCGGGTGGCGTAACTGGCAAGCGCACCGCACGGCAAGCGAAGGTTGCGGGTTCAAGCCCCGTCCCGGGCCAGTTCTTTTATTCCAGAATATTCATCTGAGTTCTGAATTATTACTATGATATCTGTCATATCTGCTAACCTTACAGTACTACATTGTAATGCAGAGCTAAAGTGCTATCTACTTTTCGTTTGCTGAATGCACCCATTTGATACAACCAGTTCTACAATATCAACAATCACTACTTTGATTAAACACCGAATACATAAGGGCCACTACTATATCATTGTATATATGTTAGACTTGAAGAGAACTCAGCTGACATTAGGAGTGTACTGATGAGAATAGCATTGTTATCATATGCCATACATCCAAACATTTACATTCACTGGCAATCAGCCTCATTGATATGACCAGGCACATATTTAAAAATATTTTAAACCTTATATTTTCTCCCTTTTTCATACAAATTTTTTTTCTATTTTACAGTAGAAACATTCAATTTAACATTCCTAACATTTACAACTGATATAAATTCTTTGTTGTGACTACACGAAATGTCGTATTTTATGTTTGCCTTCTTGGTGTGATACTTATTATATAGCTGAAACTTTATTTCCAATAGAATCTCAATTTATGATGGAAAATCAGTTTTATAGTAGTTTTAACTATTAATAAAGATTATGTAAAAAGAGAAAGAGAGAACCAATAGTTTATTAAAAATATTTGACAACCATTGTAACAGTAACATTATACAATACAATGCCGTAACAAAACATTAGTTGTCTATTTCTGTCCACACAATTGATGATGATAAAATATAGAATGAATTCATAAAGTGATAAAGATTAAAATAGCTATAGGCCTACACGCCAAATATTAATAGAAAAAGATAACGTATACAATTGTCCATTGGCGTTACGTAAAAATAATTTATTTTGTAAGTACTTTCGACAGTATATAACTGTCCTCTTCAGACAGAATCATTCATAGAGAACAAAACATTTAAATTCAAGTATATTTCACTGTATGAAAAATATAATATATTTAGCACGTTGAGTGTCAAATGACCACGAGTTGTCACCCGTACATATTTCTGAAAATTCACTTTTACACAAAAATAGATGACAAACATTAAAACACTGACTAATACATTAGTCATGGTTTAAAATTTAAGAAAAAGCTTTATCTCAGGATCATATGTTTCATTGTATGACACACAGCACGTAAAATGTAGTCAACGCATCAATTAATCAAGACCGTTAAAATATATTTGATAAATTTGGACATCTTGATCCATTTTTATAAAATTTGATTACTTTTCATACCAATAATTTTAGTTACAGATGATTAAATTGTTTTGTTTCAACAGTACATATATGAAATTCATATTAATGTTTTATTTCTTTTATTATCAAATAAGTTATGAGTTTTTAAGTGAAGAAATTCTGATCCTAAATCCTTGCTATACTTACAATTGTCTACTTCACGAAACATTTCATTACGCGCACATTATATATAATCTGCGTACGACGTTAATCACTGTATTACACCAAATGCAAAACATAAAAATAGATAAAATAATTGATTTAATAGAGAAGTATCTGCAACATTATACAGTACAGTCGACACCCCTATAACACTGTTGATAATTCCGTTTTATATGAATTCCATGTTGTACGAGTCACTTAGATTTTACAAATACGTGTGCCGACCTGTGAACGGCTCACGTATTTGTAATATCTAAGTGACTCGTACAACATGGAATTCTTATAAAACGAAATTATCTACAGTGTTATAGGGGGGTTCGACTGTTTAACAGTATAAAATATAATAAAGCTGTAACTTTTATTCTTTATATACTGTGTATAAAACACTAAACTTGTATTATAATAGAAGGATTATAATAAAGGTTTTCTATATATTTGAATAATGTAAATCTTTTGACTTATATTTAAATTCCACAGTACAAAATAGACTAAATGAATCCACTAACACAGGAGTAATTTTTAATAAAACTTAATTCTAGTATAATTTATTTAAAAGAAATTGATTTTAAAAGTTACAACCACGTGTAATAAACGTTTTTTCAACGTAACAATTGAAACAACGAAAGTACTTCGAAATCACGCCCTTTATGTAATTGAAAGCTTTTTGTTTAAATTTTTAGCGTAAAAAAAATATTGATATAGACATATTTTATACACGTGGAATTATATTTAAAAAAAACAAAGTAACAATAACAATTCTTACTTGTTTAGTTTCGCTGCTCATTTTTATAGTTTCTTCAACAGTAAAAAGCTGACCAGTTCTTTATCATTTCAAAGTTTCTCCCCCCCTAAAGAACGGAAACGAAGGAACCTTTGGCAGGATGACGTCAAAGGAAATAACGATGAATTTCCGGCTTGAAAATACTATATTTTATGTACTTTTGTTAAACGTATTTAAAATTTTTGAATGAGACTCGAATAACCACGTGTTATATGTTTATCCAAAATGTAATTAATATATTCGAAAGTTCGTATTCTTATTTTTCAGAAAATTAAACTTGTTTTTTATATAGAGAGGGAGTCAAATTCTTAAAATTTACAGGCAAAAAAGCTAAATTATGCATGCGATTAAGCATATCCTTTCTAGTTTTACTGTACAAAACTGTGCTGACTATTGTTATTTTGATAATGTTACATGCTATGCCCGGAAAAATATGAACGAGAACTATAACAAAAGGTACTCGAACCCGTTCCCACATGCATTCTTTTACTCCTTCTTACGAGTTATAAGAATGGTATTAAGAATGGAGAGCATTTATGCATTCGAGGAAGGGTTCGAATTCCTTTATTATGTATACAGTCGACCCTCCTATAACACTGTTTATTATTCCGTTTTATATGAATTCCATGTTGTACGAGTCACTTAGATTTTACAAGTACGTGAGCCGTTCACAGCCCGGCATACCTTTATTAATCAGAAGGGTTTGGGTTTTATTGAATTTATCCTGTTGCTCCGAAGAACTGGGATCCGAACGGGTCGAAAAAGCCTCAGGAATTTTTCAGGTGGTGGTCAGTCCGGATATGTGGGGACCCGTGCTTCACCATTCTTCCGCCCCGTTGTGGGCCTGCCCGAATCCATAATGGGCTTACTAAAACATGCCCGGCCCACCAGTGGCCAAGCGATTCCGTTCCCCGAAAAATGGGATTTCGGTGGTGGATTTGAATCTGGCCAGGACGGGATGGCCAGGTGGAGTTTTCCGGGTTTGCTCCACGTCTGTAACGCCTAAATAGGGGTCAGTTACCCTTAATTAAAAGAACTCCCGGAAGGCATTTCCCTTAGGCAGATCGCTCAAGTGTTGCGTTGCCGTTATTTAATAAACAACAACAATAAAACATGTCCTCTTAGTATCTACGGGCGGGGAGTTCTAAAAAAGTCCACACAACAAGTAACTTTTAATAGATATTAAATTTCAAATAAACTTTTTCCATTCAATGCCTTATCCCGTGAATACCGGGATCGTATTAGACCCTGTACACACTAGGCGTTTTTCAACGCGCGTTTTGCGAGCGCTTTTAAACGCGCGTTTTGCGAGCGCTTTTAAACGCGCGTTTTGCGAGCGCTTATAAGAACCAAGAGTTCTATGTAGCCGTACACACTCAAAAGCCAAGCGCGCGTTAAACGCGCGTTTTGCGAGCGCTTATAGATTTTTGTTAAAACGCGCGTTTTGCGAGCGCTTTACGGGCGCTTTGAGATATATGTNTTAAAGACATGAATTACGTGATATGAAATATAACGTCATTGCTGTATCAATTGACAGCTCCAAAATCCATTATATATGCACCCCAGATGTAAATTTCAGCAAATTTTCCCTATACAAAAATTTTGGAACTAAACTTTTCATTTACAAAATTAAAATTTCATGGTCAAAAGTATGCGTGTCAAATTTGATTCTTTTTAACTCTTCTCCCCGTGAGACAAACTCGTGCAATGATCCGTGAAAATCACTCTTTTTAGACATAGACAGAGACGGAAATGAAGAAATTGGCCGCAAAATACAAATTTTTAACATTAAATGGAGTCACTATGCAACAATAAAATTTTCTGGTTGTTGAGAGAGAATCTATTGTTGACTCGTGCGATTGTTTAATGCGAGTGCTTTTTCTAGTTTTGCTTCGTTTGCAGAGATTGTTTAAAGTGATGTAAGTTTACACTATGATCTTTGTAGATTTAAATACTCTTTAACTTTGATTAGCAAAATATCACAGTTGGCGGCCATCGGTTTCCTTCGGAGGATTCGCATCTTTCCATTGTTAAAGCAAAATAAAAATTAATAAATCTGTTATTCCCCGCTATAGTTTATAAATTACATACGTATATATATCATTTTTGCATTAGAAATTTACAATTCAGATTAGAATAGAAATATTTCTCAATTAATCCTCTCATTTTCCTTTGCAGAATGGAGAATTTCAGAGAGTTGAAGAAGTTGCGCATCTCGGACAATGCAGAGTCCGAGGATGACGCCTGGTCTTGGCCAGGTGTCATAAGGGTGCTTCCGAAGGATGCGGAGGAGAAGTGTCATAAACCGGACGTCAAACGGGTGGTGGTCGTAACTCCGGACGACACCGCCTCGTCTCTCGTCCAATATCTAGAGGGGCGATATCCGGAGGTTCCGGAATGGACGGTGGAGACATCGTCGGGTGAGACCGGAGTGGAGAGAAAGGAGTCCGAAGAGTCCGTCGAGCGCAAAAGGCCTTGGTGGAAAAGGTTGTTTTGCTGCTGGAAGACATAAACCTCTTCTCTGGCCAGGCCTTCTTGCGCAGATTTCGACTTTTCACCGAATGTAACATCGCCATTCGGAAGTGACCTTTCACCCGAATATGACATTTACCAGGAATTGATCTTCCACCCGGCTACGACTTAATCGACTGGACTTGACTTTTTATCCCAATTTACGGACGGATACTTCGACACCATTCGAGATTCTGTTAAAGAGCATATAGAACAACGACAGTGACATCAAACAGTGTTCTCGTGTTTAATTAAAGACTGTTTAAACGGCTATAACTGGCCAAAACAACTTATATTCTACAGACATTTACACTGTATTTCATCCGGTGTTCTACTGCTAAAAACTTTCACCGCGAAATAACGAATATTCGCCACTAAAAGGCATACCAGACGAATTTAAATAAACCAAAAAATACACGTACTCGGTTTGTGTACTCCACAATCATAATTACTTCAACAATTAAATTTGTACATAAATTTTTATATTAAATAAAAGTAATTAAATTTTATATGAAATGTTTACAGATTCGATATTTATTAAAGTTGCGCATTTTTTGATGAATTTATAATTAATAATAATGCTTATAATGACGAAAACAGGAAAAATGTACCCGATTCATAACGAAACAAAAATATTTAAATTTAATGAGCCAAATATAATTTGAAACAGTTGGAATTTTGTATTAAAACAATGGTATAAAAACTGAAATCACATTATATTTTATTTCATAAAAATAAAAGACAAGTTTTACAAGTTTAATGTATATAAATTTTCACTAAATATTCAGTCCCAAGGACCCTTATATATTTTAATACCTTTCCAAGTGGGGCTATACCGCATTAATTCCGAATCTGAAGGAGAAGGTGCGGTTGGTAATATGGGTGGAGGAATTTCCGCCGGAGGTGGCGGAAGAACCGACGTCACTAACCGATCGTAAAGATGCCCTCGGACGTAAAGTTCGGGTTTGATCAAGCAACATAGAACCAATCCAACAAATACCATTACGGAACCTACAGTAAGGAAGACGATGGATACAACCATGTGCACTTCTAATGCCATGTTGATCTTTCTGGAAATAAATAAATAACCTAAATATACTACATTTAAAACAGAATAGAAAAATATCATATAAAATTCAAGTGTTTTTCTATACGCAATAGTTGGATAAGGCAATGATCTACTAATGGGTATTGCATGCCAGGACTTTCTATAAGAAACTAGCCTCTATTTTGGTATTAGACAAGTGAAGAAAACACTGAAAACTCTACGTAGATTGCCCTTTGATGAGGTATAAACACGCTACCGGATCAAAAAGTTCGAGGAGGAATTTTTAACATCTCTTACATGCTGGCATCTGCCTCAAAATATAGATCGATTGCATCGTGGTCCTCCTCAGATTTTATTTTATCCCGAAGTGTAATTGAAAATTAATTGTAAAATGACTTTTATACTATGTTTCAGTTTGTTAAGCAACACTTGGGCGATCTGCCTATGTGGGATGCCTTCCGGGAGGTCTTTTTTTAACAATTTAAGTTTTAAAATAACACTTAATAGAAAGATTAGAGGCAGCAGGCTCCAATTAAGTATAAAGTCAAACCTCAAAACAATGGCCACTGAGGGGAGCATTAAAAATGCCAGTGGTTTGAAGGTTATTTTTTATGTATTTTTATTTAAATCAGTTCATCTCGATAGTCCGTTCGACTATATAATATATATATATATATATTTAAAAAAAATGTATTTTATTCAGTAAATTTTAAAAATTTCATTGAAGAAACAGAATATTTTATGACCACAACATTGATTTTGGTTATTTAATATTGGATGATGCAAATAAACAATTAGGAATGACCAAGACATTTTAAAAATTCAGTTAAAGTATTAAAAACAAATAAAATTTACCTTTAGAAACTTGTAATATTGGAGTAAAGGAAGAGAAATGAAATTTGCCATCTTTTTTTTTTTATAAAGGGGATGTTCACTTGGTTGATCATCTCTTCTGTTGTCATAGATACAGATAAAACAAACCGGGCTAATTACTTTTAACCTATTTTTTTTATAGTTTAATGAATGCTAAAAATCAAATATCGATACAATTTTTTACCTTTACATTTCATACTTTTGGGTATTTAAAATATAATATTTGCAAAAATAAAAATAATGTAGAAAAGTTATAATAAATTTTGTATGTATTTTGGCTAATAAAATATAAATTAATCGACCAATAAATATTTTCTGTTGTAAAATTCGATTTTATTGTTCTATTTTTTATGAATTTAAATTAATTCTGTGAAGATCAACTCAATATTTCCTTCATTATTCCTTATACAATAATGATTTCTGTAAGTTTTAATATCTAAATTTCACCTAAAATAATCTGTTGAATGTTATATTTTTTTTATTTAGGTTCTTTACAGCATTCGACTTTTCACAGAATACAACATCGCCACTCGGAAGTGACCTTTCACCCGAATATGACACTCAACAGGAATTGACCTTTCATCCGGCTACGACTTAATCGACTGGACTTGACTTTTCATCCCAATTTACGGACGGATACTTCGACACCATTCGAGATTCNAATACTAATTGAAAATGAGCTAAAATCAAACATCAATGATGAATATGCTGTTTTAAAAGCACCTGTAGCCCAAAAAAATCATGATTCTCAAACATTTGACACTGAAGATCACCCAGAATTCATCAAAGAATCCGAGTTTGACGTGAAAAAAAAGCAGAGATCTGTCCTTAATCCGCTAAGAAATGTCAGATCAAAGTTGAAAAAGAATGAAGCAAATATTATTAGAGAGCTGAAACATTCAGAAAAATTCAATATAAATAATAATTACAACACGGGAGAGAGTCAAAATGATCGATCAAAGGATGGTTCCGGCTTTTCTCCAAAGAGAATTGATCAAAACTGGAAATCTCACAAGGAAAAATTACCAGAAATTCAATATCCTTTATCTAACTTATTCAGAAGTAAAGTTGCTAATAATAAGAATAAATATAATATAGAAAAAAATGGAGAAAATGTAAAAAGTTTGTTTACAGCAGAAAAAGGCTTTGACGACGCTACTGACGATGAGAAAACAAACGAGATCAGGAAGGAAGTGGAAAAAATCTTCCAGATCTCGTTAAATTAATTTATACAATTAAATATTCTATTTTATTCTTAAGAAAATTATCATAAACATTTTGAACTTTCAATTTTTTAATGAAAAAAAATCTATAATTCTATATAATTATTTAAATTCTTTTATCAAAAAGATAATTCTGTAAGTTTGAATAAAAATTTTGAATTTAATAGCGTAAGAAAAATTAATTAATTAACGAATATGATACAGATTGTAATTTATTCGTATGAAAAAAATATTGTCAAGAAGTAATAATAATAATAAACACATTTTTCTTTAAAAAAAACATAAATATTTATTAAAAACTACCTTAACAAATTAAAGAACTTTCATTTTTTCTTAAACTTCAAGCTGCGTGAATTTGCTTTAAAGTGGGGAGGTAAACTGGCCTTAAAGAACAGATTTTTACCATCCAATATTTCGGGAATGACTAGGTTTTTTAAGTGTAAATGCATTGGCACATAACGCGCTTTGCTCTGCTGAATGCCCAGTCTTCTCAACATGCTGTCGGGAAGTCTCTAGAAAAAAAAAAAAATATTTAACTTCAATTCAACAATATAAAAATATTTTATATTATTTTAAAAGTTCTCATTATATTTAAAATAATATTAATTGTTTAAGTGTAACTATGTAATTAATAACTCAATATTGTATTTATTATTATATGTGTACTGTTTTGCTGCTCGACCTTCGCCGAGTACCGTAGAAGAATCTTAGAAACCGTAGAAAGAGTGCACGTTACACTTGCGTACGTGCTTACAATTAGATAAAAAAGTAAAGGATTAGCAGACCAATAAAGTAATAAATTGGTACAGTGCAAAAGAAAGAAAGGATGAGCAAGAGAGAGAATGAATGAATGAATGTTTAAAATAGAATAATTCTTTGTAAAATTACATGTTACTCTATTCTGATTTTTTCCAATTTTGAGATTTACATTTTACATAACTGCAAATTTACATAAGTTGCATGTTACGTAACTCGGGGTATTAGCGTATTCTAAAATCTAAATTCAATTCTTGTAAGAGACAGAATGTAGTGTACTAATTTAATTTAAGTAACTTCAAAACTCACATTTTTATTTTTTTATAATTTAATTACATCCTTCTTTGATGTCTTAACCTTATTATGGTGAAGGGGGTTGAGTGAAACCAATGACCCAGAGTTATAATGATGGTAGTACACTACCAGCAGAGCATCCCAAGTTGGATAGGTAAGAGAGTAGGTGCTAGACTTAAAACTTGGTCCTCGAGGTTGGACTTTATAGAGAGAGAGATTTTATTTAAAAAATAACTTTTATATTATTAATATTTTATAAAATGGCAAAAAGCTTCATTTTGATGGCATGGATAAGTTTTATAAAAATTTGTAAATGCTAACGACGAGCAAAATCTTCATTAAATCCTATTAATAACTCCCAAATGATCGTAAATTATATTATTCAGATAGAGGAATAACTAATAATAATGTCCTATAAATCAAGTGATAAATGAACCAGCAAAAAACTTTATTATTTTAATCCTTCACATGTCCATTTCAAGTAGTGTTTTATTGGAGTACACGACAGTTGAATGACAGTCAAAACTGGGTGATAATCAAGTAGGCGACAGTTAACTAGGTAACAGAAACTTAAATAAGCAAGTAAAACAGCAAGGCCATATTTGGGACAAGACTATGTCTTGGATATACACTACTAAGTGGGATCATTTCAATGCTGATGGCAGGTCTTGTTCTCATTCTCCAATCTTTTTTGGTATCACTGGTTCTGAGCGTGATCGTTCAAACTTTGCCGGCCATGACCACAAGATTGTCTACGATGCATTTTCGGTGAAATTAACCTATCCAATGTCGAAATTTCTCTCCATTGTGTGTCACCCCGGGTTGAATTTTTATCGATGCCTAATAAGAATTTCCTGTTTTGAAAAATGTAATCGTAGCTATTGTATTGTCTGAAATTATTTTTTTATTTTTCACAAACAAAATAAATATATTAATAAATGTAAAAACAAAAAAAATTATATTTCAGAAGTTAGTTTTAATATGAAAATAATATAAAATTATAATGACTAGTGCCATCTATTTTCAAAACGCACAACGTTTACATTTCCAACTTCCCAAGAAGCATCACATGCATAAATCTCGCACTAGTGCCTGTTTGTAGAGTGTCACCATTTTGTATTTTATTTTGACTTGGTTCTCGGTTCCCTGAGTACCTACAAGCCTGGTTTTTTTTGTGTGCGCATGATTTGGGCATCTAATACTCTGCCAAATTGCAACTCCCAACATGTACTCCTTCATACCTCTAAGCTGGTAAGCTACAATTTTATAAACAAGACATAGTCTTGTCAATAAAACTATGATTAAGACATATGAGTGTGAGAACCTGGGCTAAATAAAAAAATTTCTGTTAATTTACGGTTTTGGTTTGTTCGAGTTATGGCAATGTAACACTTGGGCGATCTGCTTAGGGGGATGCCTTCTGGGAGGTCTTTTTAAGGGAAACTAGCCCCTATTTAGGCATTACAGTCATGGAGAAAACCTGGAAAACTCCATGTGGCCAACTCGTCGGAGCAAGACCTGAACCCACGACCGAACTCCCAGTGTTCAGGGTACGAAGACCGCTTGGCCACTGGTGGGCTCTTCTGTTTAATTTACAAAAAACATTTTTTTTTTTTTTTTGCTAAAATTATTTCTCTCACAAGAGCAGGAAGTGATGCCCTTTTCCCACAGACTTTCTTCCTTGCCCAGAAATGACACATTTCCTGACTGACTGTATTGGGAACATAACAAAAAATTGTTATTGGTCTAAGTCAGGGGTGTCAAACTGGCGGCCCCGATGTGATTTTTCGTGACCTGCAGCCACAATAAAATACATTGAGAGAAAATCACAGATCAAGATTAACTGATAAACATCTATTTGCCATAATGAAGATTGTTTTTTCTCAGTCCTCGAATCCAGATATTGGAAAACTAGGAGGAAGAAGATAATGATGGCAAGTTTCCGTGAAAATAATTAATTTTAGTTTTATAAATATATACATTAAATAAAATAAATGTTTAAATAAAAGCAATACTATAGCAATTATATATTGTTGAGTTGAATTCACTAAACTACATAATGTGTTTTAATTGCCTTATCTATATTCCTGCATTCTCACATTAAATTATAATTTTAAGAAAATTTGTAAATGTGATGTGGCTTGCATGAATATTACCAATCACATTAATGGCCTGTTGTTTAAATGAGTTTGACATACGTGGTCTAATTCATCAACATTTCCCAAAAAGGGAATTGAGAGAAAAGGGGAGAACCCCCAAATAAAATAAAAAAAACAATTGAAGACAACAGTTCATTTGTCCGTCACCAAGAGTTGGTCGACATAAAGTGTTTGCTCCTGTCTTGGATTACCCCCACCGCCCTATCAAACATTATCGCTGCCGATTACCACCTAGGTCAACCTGCCCTCAGAGGGTCTTATATCAAGCTATCTAAAATCCAGATGAACCTAGAGGCCGTCTATATAATCAAGGAACAAGGAACCAGCCTATGAAGTGTTACCAGCTTATCAAATATATAATGACTGCAGGTATTTATCCTCGCATACCTAAGTGTAAACTCTCTCTCCCTTTGTTAGGAATAAAATACAGTTTAATTGAGATGCTATTTGATTACTATATAGTCAATCCTATGTATAATTTGATGTGTAAATAAACAGGTATTATTTTTGGACGTGTTGTCTCAAGGTCTCCTCCATCCCAAATCTGACTGCCTACACACACGACCGCTCATGTGGCCATTGAGGTTTCTGTGTTTGTCCATAGACACAGTGGTGTCAATCCTGACAACACAGTCATCACAAACACAGTGTTGATCCTTTGGTCAAGTGATACGAAAGTATAGGGAGCACTTCGTGCATTGTCATGAGGTATGAGTTATAAGTTATGAACTATGAGTTTTAAGTTATTTCTGACTTAAGAAAAGGAAATGTTTTGGAACAATGTACTGTAGCATCATTAATTATTGTATGTCAGAAGTGGTTAACAAAGCACATGAAAGAAAAGCAGTTCTTCAAAAACAAATTCTTTTAAAGAACTTTTATACTTTTTTGTTTTAATGTACATTGTATTTAATGTATAATGTAATGTATTTTTACATTTATGTTATTGTCTTTGTTTTATATATATATTTGTTAATTTTGGAGGAAAGTTATCAACTGTCCTTTGAGACTTTTCTATTTATTCGTAAAAATAAATAAAACATTTTGTGTATTTTATCTATTTATATACTTCTTTACATGCTGCTATTCATTTTATTATAAATAGTTAAAGTAATTATTTCATCCAATTATTTTTTCTCTTATTTTAATATAAGCTCGCTTTAGATAACTGTCTATTAGTTATACAATTTTGAAAGATTACAACAAACTTTATAAATCCCCATATGTTTGATATTGAATTAGTAAGTAGAATAACTAAGAAACCAATAAAGTATTAACAGTTTAATATAATGGTTCCAAGCCGTATTCTGCAGAAGCTAGGGTTCTGCAATAAAACTAGTTTTTGATCTTTAATTCATAGCTTAAATTATATATAAACAATTTACTTAAATAGTTAAAAAATTATTAATATTCCATAGGAACAGATGATTTTCCATTATTAATTTTTTTTTTGTATGTTCAATAAATTATTTTCGATCTGTTATTTTATTTTATTTATAATGAGTAAAAATTGTCAGGGTTTCAAAACTTTATCAAGACGAAAAGGGTTTTGCAATTAAAATAAGCTGAGAACTGCTAGTTTAATACATTTTAAAATATAACTACAGTCAACCCCCTATAACACTGTTGATAATTCCGTTTTATATGAATTCCATGTTGTACGAGTCACTTAGATTTTACATGTGCCAGGATGTGAACGGCTCACGTATTTGTAAAATCTAAGTGACTCGTACAACATGGAATTCATATAAAACGGAATTATCAACAGTGTTAGAGGGGGGTGGACTGTAATATAATTTATTTAATATGATATGACTTACTTGTGGTGCTAATTTATCTAAATGAGAATATTTATGATCTCCTAATATCGGGCATCGAAGTCCAAAACCCAAATGAACTCTAATTTGATGTTTCACAGCTATTATAAATAAAAATTGTCAATTAAAAAAATATTTTAAATAGGAATTTATTATTATTATATATAAATAATTTATACAAATATCAGTTGATTATTAATCTTATTTATATAGTCAGTAATTGGGTAATTTTTTAAATTAATCAGTTTAAATATGTGAAGTATATCTCATACAGTAGATTTCTGTTTTATGATAATTCATAACAATCCTTCAGCCTTTACAAATTACATATATTTTCCATTATGACTACCAAATACTCTTATTTGCTTCTGGTCATCTTAGTGTGGTATTACAGTTTATAATGTATTTTCATGAACACAGTTTCAATTTATTATATCAAAACTATGAAAAGCACACATTGATTTGCTTTATTGCAGTACACTTATGGGTGTTTTTCAAGAATCAGTATAATGAGATAAATTATAGAAAAAACATTATAAACTTTTCACATTAAAAAGACTTTTGTCTATTAAATGTTATCCTTCCTCGATTAAAAGACATTTGAACAAAAACATTCTACAAAAATAATAATAATAAATGAATGTAATAAGCAATAGACATTATATTTATATATAAAGATTTTCATAAACATCTGTATCATATTTTAACATAAAAAATATATTTCTTTAGACTATACATACAATATGAGTCAATTTCTTTTGATCCCTTCACACGCTGTTGAGGTAATAACAATTCCACAGAGGAATTGTTATTGAGGTAATAACAATTCCACAGAGGAATTGTTATTACCTCAATAATAACAATTCCATGGCGGAATAACGTCCCAGCAATTTTTTAAAATGTACTTATTAATTTCCTGTAGCGGCGGCACAAAGCTAAAGTTCTGTAGGCAGACGAGTAGTTGACTCTGCCGTGGAATCGTTATTACCTCAGCAGTGTGTGAAAAGACCGAAAGAAATTGACTCATATTGTATGTATAGTCTCAAGAAATATATTTTATCTGTATCATATATTCATAAATAAATGTATTAAAAAAAATTTTTCTGTCTTTAATGTCTGTTCAAAATTGTTTCATTAAAATTAATATAAATACAATATTCCCTCATTATATCGCACCTGCCAGGAGATTTATTTGAATCTGCAATATAACGAGGAGCTACTGTATTTATTTAACTAACCTATTTAATAAGTTAAGACAAATAAACATTTATATTCGTTGTTAAGATAAATAACATTTAATGTATGTGTTATTTGTAATTATAACAATGAGAATTATTCATTTTAAATCAGCCAAATAAAACCTATCATCATTGTGATGAATAAACAACACAAAAAGTACTTATAACAATTAAAAATTTAAAAGACAATCTATAAATTCATTGAAAAATAGGAACACACTAAAAAATTTAACGGTGTCATCAACCCCCTTTTTTTTTTCTTTTGTAATAATTTTAAAAATGTTAAAATTTTCTATTGGCTATTAATATGGCTCAATGGTTACTGGAACTTGTAAATCTAGAATTATTTTCAACACGAGGATGTGTTTTATAGACAAAAACAAGGGATTCCGAAGGGATCCTGTTTGAGTTCAATTTTGGTAGAATTATGTATGGTTAAAATTGACAATAAAATTGCCAAGATAGACGAGATTAAAGCTATATATATATAGATACGTTGATGATTTCCGAATTGTTTTTGATTCTAATATAACAATGGTTACTCTAAAAAATTCTTAATAATTGGCTGTATCAAATGGAATATAAAAATAATTAGACTGATAAAAAACTAAATAGAAATATTCAAAATAATTATGTAAAATTAAAGAATGAAAAGGCATTTTTGAAAAAATAAAACAAATTTGAAAAAATTATAATTTTCTAGTGATTCTGGAACAGTTTAATAGCTTAAAGATAATCATAAATAATAATAATAATAATCAGAAAAGAAAACAAAATATCCTAAATACTAAGAATGTGTTTTATAATTTCCAGTGTAGTTGTGCTAATAGTAAAACATGTTGGTGAAACCAGTAGAGAACCGGGTATAAGAATAAAAGAACATATAAATGCCATCAAAAATAATAACCAATATTCCACAGTAGCTCGCCATTGTAATACTCGGGGCTGAAATATTAAAAAGAATACTATCAAAATTGTTAAGAAAGAGAAAAATAATTTTAAGAGGAAAATATTAGAACATTTTGAGATAATTAGATTAAAACCAGAATTAAAAATTAATAGTAATGTTGGTGTAAATTACATGATTTGCGGATACATTTTATGGCCAATAGATGATAATGTAAAACTTATAAATATTGGTGAGAAAACGGGAGTGTGGCTGTCGTTTACGTAATGGTTAATGAACTGGATATTGATGAAAAACATTTGGGTGAATTGTCGTGAATTTACAGTAGAGCCTCGATTATCCGACCTAATTGGGGACTGGGGTTGGTCGGATAATTGAAAGGGCGGATAACCGAAAAGTATGAAAAAATCCATTATTAGTGTAGTATATTATTATATCCCATGTAATTAGTATATTAATATATCGCTATTAACCTACTTTGCATTGAATTTTCATCGATGTTAAGTCTAACAAAAATTTTTTTAAATAATAATCGTCGCTATTGTATCGTTAAAAATTAGAATATTAAGCCTCGTTTAAATACTGGCTCCCTTTCATGGTCGAATGAGTGTTGCCAGCTAAAACACGTAA